AAGAAAATATATGAGCTCACATAATAGGCAGTCCAGACTTAGGCCAGAAGCCTGGGATGTTTGATTTGGTTTCTAAAGCATTTTACGAAGAGCTGAGGTTATTTCTGTGTCTCTGCTCTGCCACACAAACTAGATTTATCCTGGGCCTGGTTCTCCTCATGAACACGAGATGTCTGCCAGCAGAAACTGAGATGACAAGCATCTTTTTCCATATCTAATAACAAAGGTTGAATTCACTTCCTTAGAAGTCCAAAGCAGATATTTGGCTGCATTTCATTTGCCTAAAGTTGTTAAAGTTGTCCACCTCTAAACTAAGCACTGGCAAGAATGGAGAAATTATCATGATTGACCTAGATTAATTATTTCATGGGAAACAGATGATAGTCAATCATACTGGCTACTGTACACTCTTAAAACTGGTTCTAATAACTAAGAAGAAGATAAGGTTTAATGAAATAGTTTTGTCATTTGTCTATGGAGATTGTCAAAGGAAGAGACTTCCATTAATGCTCAGACCAAACTATGGTCTACAACGTCAGCTGGATTCCCGTGATAATTTGGTTATCCTCTTATGCATTCCTATTTAGCATCTTTTCCATTTCCCAACAACAGCTATAGCAAATCTTTATATATTTTTTAAACCACTTTATTAAGGTGTGATTGATATACAAAAGCTGTACATATTTAATACATACAACTTGGTGAGTTTCGAGATAAGTATGGACCTGAGAAAACACGCCCCCAATCTATGCCATTAACATATCTATCACTTCCAAAAGTTTCCTCCCACCTCTTTATAATTATTATTATTTGTGATAAGAACACGTAACATAACGTTTACCCTCTTAGCAAGTTTTTAAGTATCCAATACAGTGTTATTAACTATAGTCACTGTGCTGTACAGTAGGGCTCCAGAACTTAGTCATCTTACATAATTGAAATTTGGTAGACTTTGATTAATGCCTCCCTGCTTCTCCTACTCCCCTGCCCCTAGCAACACTATTCTACTCACTGTTCCATGAGTTTGACTATTTCAGGTTCCTCACGTAAGTGGGATCACGTAGTATTTGTCCTTCAGTGTCTTGGCTTATTTCACTTAGATCAAGTCCTCCAAGTTCATCAAGTTATGGCAAGTCTTTTATAATCTCAACTCTCCAACCCATGTCATCTCAGATTATCTCTTCCTTCAAATGATTTTACCCACTATAAAACAGTAATAGAAATAACCAAAATAATTGAATTGCTTTCATCTTCTTGGTTACTAATGCCATCATTCATCAGTCCAACACTTACAAATATTCCTAAATTAATTTTAGTCATTACTTATCTATGTCTTACCTCCGGGATAAAATTTGTTTCTTTACTTTAAGAAGATTAATCACAGTCCTTTTTACTTCCCTTCTCTCATATCGTTCTCTTTATTATTTATTTTTGTATACTCAGTTTCGATATTTAACAGGCTCCTCAATTCAGCATATATAATAATAAACTAACACTTACATAGTGCTTACCAGGTAATAAGAACATTTAGACATATGTATTAACTCAGTTAATATTTAGAACAAATCATTAGGTTAGGTGCTATTATTTTCTCCTTTTAATAGAGAAGGAAAGAGAGACAATTTTGTACAGCAGCTAGAGAGAGAGTTTGGAATTAAATCCAGGAATTTAAGGTCAAGCAAGAGTCTATGTTTCTAATCCCTACATTATCCTATCTCTCCTAAAATCAAAGTTTTAAACGTCACCAAGTTAAAATAAATGTGAAGTTGCAGAGCAAAATCACCACATGATGATTTTACAGACGAAAGGAATGAGAATATATTCCACCAGTTTTACAGATTTATCTTAAAAATTTACAAACCATAATATTTGCCAAGTATAAGTTTGTAGTTCAACAAATTGTAATAAATTTACAGTTACGGAATCATTGCCATAATTCAGTTTTAGAACATTCTCATCATTCTAAAAATTTCCCTCATATTCCCCCATTTTGAATCTTCTCTGTTGCTTCAAGAATATAAAAATAAGAGGAGAGTAAAGATACTAATTTAAAGCCATCTGTTGCTGTATTACAGTGGTTATCAAAACGTGTTCTGGCGACCCTGAGCTTTCCCCACAAGCCCTTCAGAAGATCCACAATGTCAAAACTATGTATTCATAGCGGAGAGATACAGGGTAGAATGTGCATTGAAGAAAAATAAATGCCTTCCTCGCCTTCCCCATTTTTCCTTTTAATTAGCTGCAGGACAAACTGAACAAAGCAATTTATTTTGAGGTTAAATAAAATTCAATTCCAATTATGTTTAATACTTTAATATCATCCTCTGGGTATTCTCATAATCTTTTAGGGATTTTTTTCAAGTTACTCTGATTCAAGGAAAATATTATATGTGAAAGATAGCAAAAGAGTTGCAGTTCTGCTAGAACTCTCATCTAGGAATTGGAGAACGTAGCCTCCACTGATACGTTTAAAGAAACGGAAGAAAACAAAGAAAGTTCCGCATGACAATTTCTCAAAAGATGTGAGCTCAATATCCTTGAAAGTGTACTAAAATCTTTATCTCTTTAAAAAAGATTATCAAAACAAACACGTATACCAATGGGACACAATCAAGAGCCTAGAAATAAACTCATGCATATACAGTCAGCTAATATTTGACAAGGGAGCCAAGAATACTCAATGGAGAACAGTTTATTCAATAAATGGCTCTGGGAAAACTGGATATTCACATGTAAAAGAATGAAACTGGACCCCTATCTTACACCACTCACAAAAACTAAATCAAAATGGATTAAATACTTTAATATAAGACCTGAAGCCATAAAACTCCTAGTAGGAAACATAGGGAAAATGTTCCTTGACATTACTTTTGGCAATGACTTTTTGGATAAGACACAAAAAGCACAAACAACAAAAGCAAAAATCAACAAATGGGCTTATATCAAACTAAAAATCTCTGCACAGCCAGAGAAATGATCAACAAAATGAGAAGACTATCTATGGAATGGAAGAAAATATTTGCAAACCACATATTTTATAAGGAGTTAATATCCAAAATATTTAAGGAACTCATACAACTCAATAGCAAAAAAATAAATAATTGATTAAAAAATAGGCAAAGGACCTGAAGAGACATTTTTCCAAAGAAGACATGCAGATGGCCAACAGGTACATGAAAAGATGCTCAACATCACTAATCAACAGGGAGATGCAAATCAAAACCACAATGAGATATCACTTCACATCTGTCAGAATGCCTATTATCAAAAACAGAAATGTTGTGTGCTGACAAGGATGTGGATTAAAGGGGAACGCTTGTATACTGTTGGTGGGATTGTAAACTGGTGTAGCCACTATAGAAAACAGTATGGAGGTTCCTCAAAAAATTGTAAATACAATTACAATATGACCCAGCAATTCCACTTCTGGATATATATCTGATGGAAATGACATCACTATCTCGAAGAGATAGCTGCACTCTCATGTTCACTGTAGCATTACTCACAAAAGACAAGACGTGGAAACAACCTAAGTGTCCATCAATGGATAAATGAATAAAAAAGAAAACAAAGAAAATGATAACATATATGTATGTAACATGATATAATATATAATGGAATATTATTCAGCCATGAAAAGGAGAGGAATTTTGCCATGCGTGGACCTTGAGGTCATTATGCTAAGTGAAACAAGTCAGAAGAGAAGACAAATACTGTATGATCTCACTTATATATTCAATCTAAAAAATCTGCTCTCAAGGAAACAGAGAACAGATTGGCAGTTGCCAGGGTTGAAAGAGTTGGAGAGAAAATGGGTAAAGGTATCCAAAAGTTATAAACTTCCTGTAATCAGATGAATAAGTTCTGGGGATTTAATGTACAGCATGATAGATATAGTTAACAATACTGTATATTATATTTCTCATGTGCACACACACACAAAATTGTAACTATGTGAGGTAACGGATGTGTTAACTAATCTTATTGTAATAATCATTTTGCAATATATACATACATCAAATCATTACATTGTACCTCTTAAGCTTACTCAAGATTGTATGTCAATAAGCATAGAAAAAAAAGCATATTAAGTAAATTTTAAAAAGATTACCATTTGGTATTCTCCATTATTTCCTCATTAACTTCTCCCTTTATCACTCAATACAATTTGCCTGGCTGCATTCTCACCTATTGTCATGACTACACAATTTCAAGTCAACATGTCTGGCCTAGACTGTTTCCTTGAATTTTAAAAACACGTATTTATTTGTCATCCCATCTATTTAATGTATTGTCCATCTCTGTAGAAACCTGGGATTAAGGTCAGAGTCATTCCTTTCCTTTCCTCTTACCCTACCTCTACATATTCCTATCTTTTATCAATCAAGTTAAATCATGTTTCTTTTTCCCTCCTAAATATACATATATATTTTTAATTTGTTCCTCTGGCTTTGGTCTTAGCTCCAGCACTGACTAGTTCTTTCTTATCTTACCCCAATAACTTTCTAACTCGTTTTGTCTGTGGTTTCACCAATTCTAGTTTATATATTGTTAGTATTTTATATTATCAGTAGAGTACTTATTTTCTTTGTTTATTATTTGGCCCTATCACTTTTCTGGTTAAAACTCTTTGGCAGTGATGGGGTTAAAGGCAGGCCGCCCCAAGATGCGTACTCTGGTATGTGGATTATTTCCAGCTGAAGACAATAAAGGCTCAGAAGACTCAGGAAGAGCATCCGACCTCCCCTCCTCCCCTAAACTGCCTAAAAGACTTGACCACAGGCCTGTTCCAGGAAGGAGCTCATACCATATGATAGCTATAGTATGATGTAAAATAGGTGTGATAAAAAGACACCAACAAACCCATTTTTTTGGCCCAGAAAACCCTGTTTAACAAAGATTTGCATTCTATCTCCATATAAATTGTCTTCCCCTCTGAAATCCCAAACCACTATCTTCCACATCTCCTTGTCTGTAGCTGAAGATATTTAAACAGGCAGCCTCAGCCAGACGCCTGAGTCACTCAGGTTCTCCTGGGTTTCTCTCATGTGTATATGCTATTAAACTTTGTTTGATTTTCTGGGCTAACCTACCTCTGATTATTTCATCAGCCAGAAGAACCTTAAGGAAAAGCTTGGTGGGGGGAATTCTCCCACTTCCCCAACGGTTTTGGCGTCGTCGGCAGGATCCTCACTGGCTGGCAAACCACCTTCTCTGGCTGGAAGAACTGCCTCCCACCTGGGACCACTGCAGGTGAGGAGATCCCGAGTCACCTGACGAAAGCCGGCAAGGGGTAGGATTTCTTACCGCGTCAGCCTCCCTGAATCTCTATCTGCAGGGTCCGGTGGAAGCAAGTGGTAAGAATTTTTCTCTTTCTAAATTTAGATTTGCAGGATACAACATTTGGGAAACCAGTGTCTGGCGTGACTCTGGTAAATTTGGCAGAGTACTCTTGGCTTTATTGATCCTTTTCCACCAGAGATAATCACTGTGTTTTTTCTTTTGTCTCTGTCTTTTGTGTCATGTATCATAAGAAGGAAATACCATAGGGTAGGACACAGGCATAGGCCCTAAAAGCCTGTTGTCTGGGCCGGCCCCACAGGCTGGTGAGTTTGTGGTCTCACAAGAGAAACTTTGCTCTGGGTTAATATGCACATGAAGTGAAAGCTGTTGCTAAGGGCATCTTGGAAGCCAAAAAGGCCACAAACATAGTGGGCGCGGGTCAAGCAGTTAAGAGCCATTTGGGTGCTTGCCACCTCAAGAAGTCTCCCGTGAAAGGATGAGTTGGTCACGGAACGGAGTAGATGACGCATGGTCCGCCACCAACTTCAAGAAAATGTCTGTGCAACGACGAGGCACTCTGCAAAGCACACACAATCCCCAACCCCGCGTCACCTCCCTCCTGGGTATTATTCTGGCTCCAAGAGACCCGAGGCTTAGCTAAAACTGTCGTTGTGCATGTAAGAAAAAACCTGGATGAGGTTTTTCCTTCTGTCTTGTTCTGTGTCCTGAGAATTTGGCTTCCTGACCAGTGAGTATATTCTTCTTCGTCTCCACTATATGGAAGGTGCATTTACTGGGGTGCACCTTGGTAAATAGACTGGGGTTCCGAGCTCTCTCTCTGTCCGGCTGTGCCAAGGTCTCAGGGAAGTTGTCATAAATGGTCCAGTCCATAAGGGCCTTTGTCGTCTCAACTTTTGTTGCTTGCTAGTGCTGGAAAAATCCCATTCCAGTAGTGCCTGCCCAGTGTCACAGGTTGCAGGTCTGTGACCGGAGGCGTCCCACGCTCTAATGGGAGACCAGAGACGCCGTTTTCACTACACCATCCTTACCGCCTGTGCAACAAAGGTCTTTCCTTTCTCTGCCTAGCTCTGGGAGTGAACTTGTGGATCATGGGGCTACATCATCTGCGCCCTCCCCAGGGATGCCTCTTGTGTCCATGGTAAAGATTTATTCTGAGCCTGGAAAGTTACCTCTGGGTCTTTCCTTAAAAAGGCTTATTGTGTTGAATTGTTGTTGGAATAAATATACAAACAAAGATCTTACTCATCAATGGCCAGACAATGGATCTTTCGAACTGGAAAATCTTTTATATTTGAAAACTATTTTAGAGAGCTCTCATAACAAGCAGCTGCCTTATTGGTTTTTATGGGAAGGTCAAATTGAAAAGAAAACCCCCCAAAATATAGTTGCTAGCCTTAAGAAATTTCTTAATAAGTTTAAAGAAGAGAAGTCAGCCTTAGGGCAAAGATTGAAAAGCAAATTCAATGAAAATTCCCCTTCTCCTCCCTCCTATGCGCCCCTATGTCCCCAGCTCCCTGTCCCTGATTCCCCAGATCTGTTGGATCTCCGGGCCCCTGGTTCAAACCCTCCCCCTCAGGACGGAGCTCCTCAGCTGGCTCCGCAGCCAATTAATTCCCTTAGATCCTAGAACACCAACTTTGCCAAAAGGCATTCAGCTGCCTGTTTTAACTTCTTTCTTTCTAGCAGACTTAAAGGGGGCACTCAGGCCTAACCTCCAAGTGAGAGGCATACAGGTTACCTGTGTAAATGCTGAAAGCTAGGAAGTGAATTTAGTAGAAGTGGCCAGGAAAAGCAGAAAAGTTTGCTTTGCTGTCCCTTACAACTCCTCCTACTTTCCAGGGCTCTGTCATCAGGCTCTGCCAGCTTCAGGGGTTTCTATGCAGTTTCCATTGCAGATGTATCCTGGACCCCTGCTGCAGAGAATTCATGTCCCCTGGACAGGAGCCCATCTATTAAGTTATAAAACGCTCCTGCCTCCATTGTCAGAAGATCCTACTAAATTTAGAGAGGAATTAGAAAGCTTGGTGGCTATTCATAACCCCACCCACAGAGGTCCTGACTGGCTGCTAAGGGGCGTTCTTCCAGCCCATGATTATACTGCAGTTATCAGACAGGCCAGATGACCCCTGGAGAAAACCTCTCTCATAGGGGAAATAGATGGCCACCAGACCCTCTCCCAGGTCCTCCTACAAATGACCAAGAAGTGGCACATCTAGAAGCTGATATTCAAAGTTTAATAGGAGCGATTTTGGAGGCATTTCCCCCCAAAATTAATTGGTCAAAAATTGAATTATGTACTCAGAATGAAGGGGAGCATCCAAAAGCCTTTGTTGAACATTTTATACAAGCTTTTCAAAGGCACACTGCATTAAACACAGAACACAGGAGTCTCCTAATTTCTGCTTTAGTTGGAAACTTTCTTCCTGAAATAAAAAAACAAATTCAAAATAGTGTGATTGGCTGGTCAGGGCAACCATTAAGCATGTTAATGGAGGCTGCTATACAACTCTTTGAAAATAGTCAGCAGGAAAGCAAAAGAAAAGGAGAACTAAAGGCAACTCTTCTCTCTTTACAATTTGAATGTTTTGAGAAGCAAAAACGCAACTCTGAAAGTAAAGTAAAACCCACTCAGAGGCCTCCTTATTGGCCCCCAGACAATTGCAGGTATTGCAGGAAACCAAGGCATTGGGAAAGAGAATGTCCTGCTCCTAAGAGAAGAGAAAGTTTAAAAAATATCCCTGCTTGGCTCCAGAACCCCAAGAAGGCTCCTTTTTCTCCTCCTGAGGGGCATTTCCCCCTTAAATGATGGGGTCAAGTGATCCTCAGTTGCACCCCTGAGCCTGCCATTAAACTTAAAATAGAGGATCAGGAACTGGATCTTTTGGTTGATACTGGTGCGACTTTCTCTACTATCTGTTCGAAGGATTAATCTCTGCCTGTCACCTCTGATTCTACTCAAGCTGTGGGAGTCTCTGGGCAGCCTATTTCACTGTCCATATCTTAGCCGACTCCAGTATCTTTATGCCCCCTTAACACTCATCTTGCCTTTCTGGTCTCTGACTGTTCACCAGCAAACCTCTTTGGCAGAGATTTGTTATGTAAAGTTATTGCCACTATAAATTGTAATGAAAAAGGTGTTTTTATCTCCTTGCCCTCTGACCAAACCCCAAGTCTCCTACTTTCATTGCTAGAAACTTGTCCTGATTTAAATTCTTCTAAACAGGATGAGTCTTTAGAGGATGTCCCAATTAGTCTCTGGGCTACACAGGAAAATGAGGTAGGATTGTTGCTTAATGCACAACCCATGCACATTACTTGGGAAAAGAATAAACCGTTTCCATCAGTAGCCCAATACCTGCTCTCCAGAGATGCAGAGCGAGGAACTGAACCCATAATAGACCCCCTTTTGCAACAGGGTGTACTAGTTTTTACTTCCTTACCCTGTAACACTCCAATCTTGCCAGTGAAAAAAGAAGGCAAGTTTGACTCAGATGGAAACCAAATCTGTAGATTGTTGCAAGACCTCAGAGCCATAAACTCTTTTGTAATTCCTCAGCATCCTGTGGTCCCTAACCCAGCTATCATCCTCACCTCAATATCTGCTGCTGCAGCCTGGTTTACAGTAGTTGACCTCTGCTCTGCTTTCTTTTCAATCCCATTGCACCCTGACTCACACTTTCTTTTTGCGTTTACATTTAAAGGGAGACAATTAACATGGACTCGCCTACCTCAGGGAGATTGTGAGTCCGCTCAATATTTTCCCAAGTCCTTAAAACCGACTTGGAATCTGCAGCCTTTACTCAAGGCTCCACTCTTTTTCAGTCTGTGGATGATCTTCTACTCTGTAAACAAACTGAGCAGGGAGCCGTTACAGGCTCCCTCACTCTCCTGAAGGCACTCGCTGAACGAGGCCATAAAGCCTCCAGATCTAAACTTCAGTGGGTGCAAATGACTGTGACCTACTTAGGGCATGAGATATCTCAAGGCATTCCAAAGCTCACCCCCAAACACCTCGAGTCAATTTTGTCCATTCCTCTCCCCAAAATGAAAAAAGATATGTAAATTTCTAGGAGCAGCTGGTTATTGCCGCCAATGGATTCCTAATTTTGCAGCCCTTGCTAAACCCCTGTATGCTCTTGTCCAAGATATTGCTCCAGAGCCTATTTCCTGGGCTTCAGTGGCATTAAACTCCTTTGAAGCCTTAAAATTAGCTCTGTCCACAACTCCAGCTCTCAGCTTGCCTAATTTTGATAAACCTTTTCGTCTATACTGTCACGAAAATAATGGAATTGCTGCAGGCATTCTAGGACAATTTTTGCCTCTCAAATATATCCTATAGCATATTCCTCATGCCAACTAGACCCTGTGGCATCAGGTATGCCCCCATGCTTACATGTGGTGGCCGCAGCTGCCACCTTGATTGACAAAGCCAGTACTTTAACCTTAGGCTCTCCCATTCATCTCTATGTTCCCCATGCTGTGTCCACTATTTTGCAAGTACATAAGACCCAACACCTCTCTACATGGCGACAGACCACCTATGAGCAGGCTCTTTTAACCAACCCTTCCATTATCTTACCTCATTGTAACAGTTTAAATCCAGTTACTTTACTGCCCCTCCCTGATGAGGGCAAGCCCCACTCCATCCCACATGATTGCCTTGCAACTATAGAAATGGCGCCAAAGCCATGAGAGGATCTCTTGGACATTCCTTTAGACAATCCAGACTTACTTCTGTTTTGTGATGGCTCCTGTAAGCAAAATTTCCTGCAAAACATAATAACTGGTTATGCCATAGTTTCCCCACATGAAACACTTGAAGCTTATTTTTTACCCACTGTAAAATCAGCCCAAGCTGCTGAACTCATAGCTTTTACTAGAGCTTGCACACAGACTCCAGATATGCTTTTGGAGTCTGCCATGCTGTTGGCACAATTTGGAAATCCTGTGGATTCTTAACTTCTGCAGGAACTCCTATTGCTAATGGACATGAAATTGCAGCCTTATTACAAGCTATTCACATCCCTTCTAAAGTTGCCATTGTTCATTGTTCAGCCTGTACTAAGGAAACTGATGTCATATCTTTAGGAAATGACAGGGCTGACAGAGCTGCTAAACATGCAGCTCACAACAGACCCCCTTACCCTTTTTCCATCCAATTTTTAAACCTGCCTTTATCCCTGACTGCTATTATTAACTATCAGGCAAATGCCCCAAAATCTGAAAAAGACAATTAGATACAAAAGGGTGCCAAACAACTATCGGATATTTTAGATATTGGGCCAAATGGACTTCCTGTGGCTCCATTTCCTTTGACATTTTGGCTTGCACTTATCTCCTACCAAATAGGACATATGTATAAATGGGGTGTATTTAAGGAACTAAAAGACAACTGGTTTTGCCCTGGCATCCATAATATTTCTGATCAAATTATTTCCCAGTGCACTACTTGCAAATCTTACCAAGTTTCTGGGAGAAATTAGCATACCCCAGGAAGCCCTCCCAGGCCCACACTGCCCTTTGTGGCACTCCAAATGGACTTTATGGACTAGCCCCCAGCTTTAGGCTACTCTCACTGTTTGATTATCATCTGCATATTTAGTGGATGGACTGAATGCTATCCAACTAGACATGCAGATGCCACAACAGTGGTAAAGAAATTAATAACTGAAGTTATTCCTCATTTTGCCATTCCTTTCTGGATTGAATCAGACCAAGGAACTCATTTTACAGCAAAGATAAACCACTTGCCTGCAAAAACTCTGGGGTACTCATTAAAATTTCATACCGCATATCACCCTCAGTCATCAGGGCAAGTGGAACATAAAAATCTAGACATAAAATGACTTTAGGAAAGGTCTGTCAAGAAACTGGACCTGAATGGCCAGAAGCTCTGCCCTTGGCCCTTATAAAGGTTCAAAATATTCCAAATAGGAGGTATAGATTAACTCCTTTTAAAATAGTTTTTGGGCACCCAATGCCTACTGGCATCTCTAAACCCTCCATTCCTGGATTACGTGAATATTATGGGAACATAAGTGAACAATTTTATGCTATACCTAGCTATATACAGAAATTAACCAGCATACTTGAAGCATATCGTCAACAGGTGAAAGAGGTGTCCCCCCACCTTCTGACAAGCCTTGCCGTCCCACTTGACCAGGTTGGGTGTACATCAAGGTCTTTAGAAGAAAAAAATGCGCTGTGACCTCGCTGGGAAGGACCTTATGAAGTCTTACTGACCACCTACACTGCCATTAAAATAAAGGAAAAATCTTCCTGGATCCATGCAAGTCACGCCAAAATAGACCCAGAACATTGCTCTCAACACAACTGGGAGACAGTTCCCATAGGTGACCTTAAACTAAGGATTTCCAGGGCCAATTCCAAGTCCCCAGAAGTAGCCGACATCATGAAGTAGACAGCTTTTCCCAAGATCAAGGACCAAGAAAACTTGCTTTCACCTATTTTCTCCCCCTTGCATTTCTCCCTAAACACACACATAAAAAAACCTATTAGCAAATACATGTATTCCTTTAAGCATTTATTGAAAAGCTGACTGGAGAGCACTCATCTCTATCTGTCCACTTCTCCTCTCTAAGTTTCCACTATGGGCTCTTTTCCAACGTGTGTCTTGCTTTTACTAACCTACTCTTTTTCAACAGGTCAAGCACAGACCAAACACCCCCTTATGCCAGTTTACCAAGCCTTGGAATCAGTCTGACTGTTGGTTATGTCAACAGCTAGATAGCATAAAAGAACCTGAACTGGTCTTTGTTCCTGCTGAAGTGAACACCTGGTGGACTAAGTATGGAAGATGGATGAACAGCAGGGCATGGCGTCCACGACAAGGAAAACTTCACTCTGCCTCTCCTCCTGGTGAGTCATTTGGGCCCCAGAAAGACTCTATAGAAGCTCCAGGACTCTCCCTTGCCTGGGTAAAGACAATAGGTGAAAGTTTGTCCCTCTGCATTGAAAGTACACATGACACTGGACCTTTCCTGGGTGACATACCAAGACAATACTGTAATCCAACCCTGTGGTTTGATTCCACAGGTGGCATCTTCAAACCTTTAAAAGGAGTTATAAGTGACTCCACACTATTCCTTTTGGCACAAACATCTGTCAAATCACCAAATGTTCTGGATGGCTTACAAATCACCCGGGTACAACTTGGAGTATTGCTGCTGCCCACATGGTTAAGCTGCCCAGTGCCACAAACTACCTATGGGTAGATCAAAAATCTGGACTCACTTGGTCAGGTGACAGGGCCAGGCTTTATAGCTGCCGAAACCAGACTGCAGGCCTCCTGTACCAGCTACTCTGCAATCTGTTCTGTTCTCACAGATTGATAGGAGCCCATGGAAAATGGAGATTTTTAGGCTTTACAGTATCAGTGGCATAGTCATGGAATACTCCAGACCATGGGAACTATTTCTAACCTTGTCCATAAACCACACTGGTCTTTTTATTTTATGTGGCAAAGTATAGAGAGGATTCCCACCTAATTGGTCAGGATGCTGTGGATTCGGATACATGGCCCCTTCTGTCACCAAATACTCCACCCTAAATGCCAGCCAAATTGCAAACCTGGGTTCCTTTGTTCATAAGATTGTGCCACATAAATGTGCCAGTTGGGAAATTGTGGAGAATCTGCTTGTGTATCACAACTCCAAGCTCCTTTCAGCATTGAGAGCCTTATTCCCCAGCTTTGGAGATTATGAGTTGGAAAAGGCGATCTTAAATCTCTCCATGGTGATGGAACAAGAGTTCAACACCACCATGCAAACTTTGAAAATACTCCAGTCAGAGATTAACAGCCTAGCTTCTGTGGTCCTCCAAAATCGATGTGCTCCGGATACACTAACTGCCCAGCAAGGAGGAGCCTGTGCAATCATCGGTGAAAAATGTTGCTTTTATGTCAATCAAACTGGGCAAGTAGTATCTAACTTACATCTATTAAAAGAGAAGACTGACATTTTCCATCAGAGAAATGAAGCTCACACATTTTATTGGACTGACATTTCCTGGATTGCGGGACTGGTTTAATGGAGTGTGGGGAAATGTACTACGATTTGTTCTTTTCTGCCTGTTTATCCTCATTCTAATCTTGTTCTTTTCTCTCTTTGCAGATTTCTTACCAGTTACCTACTAACTCAACTTTTCTCTCCACAGTCCCCAGCTCAGCTTTTAATATCTGAAACCTCCAGGGAAGTTGCAGAGGAGGGAACTGATGGGGTTGAGGGCTGGCCGCCCCAAGATGTGCAGTCTGTTATGTCGATTATTTCCAGCTGAAGACAATAAAGGCTCAGAAGACTCAGGAAGAGCATCTGAACTTTCCCCTCACAAACTGCCTAAAAGACTTGACCACAGAAGGCCTGTTCCAGGAAGGAGCTCCTGTAGGATAGCTGTAGTATGATGTAAAATAGGTGTGATAAAAAGACACCAACAAACCCATTTTTTGGCCCAGAAAAACCTGTTTAACAGATTTGCATTCCATCTCCATATAAATTGTCTTCCCCTCTGAAATCCCAAACCACTACCCCCAACATCCTCCTTGTCTGTAGCTGAAGATATTTAAACAGGCAGCCTCAGCCAGATGCCTGAGTTGCTCAGTTTCTCCTGGGTTTCTCCCATGTATACATGCTATTAAACTTTGATTTTTCTCCTGCTAACCTGCCTTTTTAATTATTTGACCAGCCTTTATTTCCCTTTTAAGGAAAAGGGTGGGGGGGGGATTCTCCCACTTCCCCAACAGCAGTTAATATGAAATATACACCCCTCTATAATCATCTCCCTAGCTTTCTAGCCTCATCTCATATAAATATTTGTTGAACCAAGTTGATTGTGTTGATATATGTTACCTGTCACCATATGTGCATATATAAGAAAGAAACGGAAAAAAAGAAAGAGAACTTGAGGATATAAATTTCTATCTAACAATTTTTGGAACCCTTATAATCAGGGCATTTTTGTTTAATTCAAAGGTCTCTATGTTGACCAGGGTTTGTCACAGTTCGATCTGAATACATTAGTGAGTCATCCATTGGAAGGATGATGCCCGTTTTAAACTGCTGTTTGAACACAGGAGATGATTCACTCTGAGCCATTTAATACTTTCTCTATGAGTCACTGGGTGGACAATGGCATAAGTTTGTAAATAATTGATGTATCATCTTTTGTCACTAGACAGATCAGAGGAGACAGAACTATTCTTGAAATTAGCATATCTCTGGTCAGTAAGACATTCTTCAATAATTTGCTAAATTGCTTTAATAAATAACACCCTAGTTGCATGAAAATTATAATTCATTTCAAAAGGGTCTAATATTTCCTACCCACTAATTTATTTATGCAGTGCCAAATTTATCAAACAATATATAAACTTTTTGTCTTATACTGAAAGTTACATGAAATTGAACAATGCTTGTGTACTATAAGTAAATGGTAAAAAATGAGAGAAAGTATATTTCAAAAAGAAAAAAAAAATTAGTTCAGCATAGATCTTTAGAAAAGTCCAAAATAAATTAATCTGATAGTTTTCTCTGGAAAACATTAATATATAATATTTTTGAATATTTGCCATGTGCCAGGCCATGCACTTGTTTTGCCAGGCATTCATTATTCATTCATTCACTCATATATCCAGTCAACTAGTGTTTATAGAATCTCTTCTATGTGGTTCTAGCAGTGAGTAAAAAAGACAAAAGCCCCTGTCCAAGTGTAGCTTGCATTCTAGTGAAAATTGTCTTATTTAAACCTTAGAACAGCACAATAAGTTAGATCCTATTATTGGCTCCATCTTATAGTGAGAAAACTTGGGTTTAAACCATCTTAATAATTTGCCCATAACACAGTTGGTAGGTATAGGAGGTAGCTATGAATATTTGGGTCTTTCTCAACTCAGGAACTCTAGCAGTTAACTGCTATTCTCCATTGCCTCCATGTAAAGGTGTATAAAATGTTACGTAGTTATGATATGCATTAAGTTACCAATATTACAACTGAGATTATTCTTTCAAAAATAATGAACAGTTTCTAAGTATCAAGATGAGTTACATGCTAATTTCAACCAAGATCCTGTACCTATGGTATTACCCACAAATATTACCTTCAAAAATCTCTTAGGATGGATCCACACTGAGACTGTCTCTCAATAAGTAATTAGAGGCAGATTTTTGTTGTTTTTGTTTGTTTTGTTTGAGATTTGTATTAGTTTCCTGGGGCTGCCATTAAAAAAAAATACCATAGCACGTGACTTACAACAACAGAAATTTATTCTCTCATAGTCCAGGAGGCCAGATGGCCAAGATCAAAGTGTTGGCAGCATGGGTTCCTTCTGGGGGCTCAGAAGCTAACCTACCCATACCCTCTCCCAGTGTCTTGTGGTTTGTAAACCTTTGAGTTCTTTGGCTTGTGGCAAGACAGCTTCATTCTCTACCTTCATCATTAGACAGTGCTCTCCCTGTGTATCTCTCTGTGTCTGTCTCTGAATTTCCCTTTCTTATATGGACACCAGCAGCTGGCTTTGGGCCCACCTTAACCCAGTATGTTCTCATCTTAACTTGCTTGCATCTGTGAAGGCCTTGTTTCCAAATAAGATGACTGTCACAGGATGCCAGGGAACAAGACTTGAACATACGTTTGGAGGACACAGTTCAAAAGGCAAAGGGGTTGAACAACAACAACAAAAAGTGCATAAACTAAAGATCAGGTTGTGGAAAATGCTTATCTTAAAACACTTTGGTGCAAGATATTTGTTACCCTAAAAGGCTCGCGAAAAAATTCAACTGACTGAAAAACAGCTCATTAATTTGTCTCATCTCATGCTCACCCCAGAGACTATGCCCACTGAGTGATGGTAGGAGAAAGAGTCTGCATTATTTAAATTGGTTACTTTCTTCCTTATTTTTCATCTTACATAATTCATCTACTGTTTGTAGTTGAATTAGTGCACACTAAATGGGTAGGTAATGTGACTCCATCATCCTATGCTTTGAAAAGTGAGATTCGGGACATTTTCTTTTATCCCAAAACTCACAGGCTCTGAGTCAGAATTCTCTAATACTTTTCTTAAGTTAGTTTGTAATGTTTGCTAATGTTATATCAAATAATAAATACAAAAGCAGAGGACTACTGCTTAAGTAGGGACAAAGGACGCAAAACGGAATAGATTCCATATAAATTTACACATAAGGTGCAAGGGGAAAAGGTTAGATGATGGTGCTGAACTCTCCAACAATGTAGAGAAACCACAGAACCGCATCTTAGAAGCTACGTGGGGATCACAGATAAGTGAAAAATGATGATATTTTGGAAAGTAAGTTTTGTTGTGTGGGGTAGATGTAGTTTAGAGAATAGGAAACAGCCATGATGACTGAGGAAAAAGAAGGACCACCATTGTCTTTGAAAGAGAGACTAGAAACATTATTTTGTAGTTAAATCTACCCATTTTATTAGAAATAATTTTCAAAAATTTATTTTAAGTAAGCCTATTGTCTCACCAAAGCTGTCTCTTTATTCTCAGAGATGCCATCATAAAATATATGAAGCTAAAATTAAATACTCTTGTTTCTCCAAACTGGTAGCTTAATGGAGTGGAAGTAGGAGAAAGATGTCTTATCAATGGCAATTTGTCATTACTCTCAAATAACAACATTGCAACTTACACATTGTCCTGATAACAGACTATAATCAGAATGGAACTAAAAATGTAGCCTAGCTTACTGGAACTGTGGCTCAGTAGATAGCAGTTTCAGTTACGGATCAATGTGCTGTAACCAATCCCTTGACACTATTCATTTAAAACCCAGAACTCTGGCCAGCATTTACATCTCTAAATTAAAATACATCACTGACTAACCAGACCTAAACAAATCCAATACCTATGTAAGACACTGCTGAGCACACCACCCAGACTCTTGCTGCTTGCCATCCTCTCACTCGCAACGAGCGATTCGCTCCTGTAAAAAGAGCCTCCAGATTGTTCCGAGATGGTGACGCCAGGTCTCACGTGAGCCTGTGCGCAGGCTGGTTTTTTCACGTGCACATAAATCATACAGAGTTGCAAACAAAACCTTAAAGTGATTCTCAAAAGAAACTTTGGTAGCTTCAATACAGAAAGGGAATTTGTTTATCGTTATATTAGCAGATATAGTAGCAGTAGTAGATTTGTCATAAAATGATAGTTTAATTATAATAATAACAATAATAATGATAAATTGTATCTCCAGTGCTTCATTAAGAAGTCTAATCTATCCTTTAGTTAAGAAAAAGGTCATGTAAAACGCACAAAATGAAATCTGTCTCACAGTCTGACGTTGTCTTCCACAGTAATTTATTAATTTATTTCCCAAAATTGAAAGTCTTTGGGATTTTGCCCTATTTATAAAGCACACAAAGGTAAAATGAGTCACTGATACACATAATGATGTTAGAGCATCTCATGTGAGATAGTTTACTGTAAATTTTCCTGTTAGAGTCCTAATTACGTAGACCGAATTTCTATTACACAGAGATTGTTTTCAAAAATAAACTCATATAGATGACTAATAAATCAACTGATTTTTTACCATATAAAATGAACTATTTTCAAAATTTAAAACAAAATAAATAATGCTAATTTAAACTTTGAAAATGATTAAAAACAATTCTGAAACGTTTTCTCAGGGATCTGCTATGCATAATGCTCACCTTTTTATTTTTAATGTAACCATGGTTTTAGCATTTGGGAAATTTAAAAACTTAGAAACAAAGCAGAGTTTAAAATAATGAAATAAATAATTTAGGGGAAACTTGGAGGTGAATAAGTATTTTCCCTCTAATTAATTCTGCTTCATGTGTCTAGCTTTTCCTTTTCAAATATGATGTATACATTGTTCTTTTATATGATATTTAGCAAAAGAATCACAATCTTTACCTAAATACATTGAAAAAAACAATCTGTCTCTTTATGCCTTCCCTTTGAAATCTTAACAAAGAAATTGAATCCACTCTTGTTTATGTCAAACTGACTTCAGCATCAGAATGTTTCTGGTTTAACACAATGAGATTCACTGCTGGACTCAAGTGGAGGCAGTTGTTACAATGGCACAGAACTAAACTTTTTGCCTGCTGGATTTAGTATACTACCTAGGCAATGCTAACATTCATCAGATACCTCTTGCATTTGATGAGGTATACAAGTTGGTGATCTTTTTAAAAGGGTTTTTTGTGAAATATAACACACGTCAGATATGCCAGCACAACATAAATGCACAGAACAATGAATAAAGATAAAGTGATCATCAATGTAACCAGCATCCAGGTTAAGCTAGAACATTCCCGTTAATCTTGTGTGTCTCTTCACAATTACATTTCTTCTCTCCCCACTTGACGTTAATATTATTTTGCCTTTTATGGTAGTCATTTCCATGATCTTCTTTCTAGTTTTAACTCTTATGTGTGCATCACAATAGAGCAGAGTTTGTCCTGTTAATGTGCTTCATATCAATAAAATCATACCAAACGTATTATTTAATGTTCTTCTTTTGCTCAATAGTCTTTAAGATTCACCAATAGTGTTGG